GTACCGCTTCACCTTGAAGTTCCTCTCCTTGGCGCTCGTCCCTTGCTGTTTCCTATGACAGAATGGCCTCCCGGATCTCACTCATCCTGACTACCGAGCACATCCTCGTCGATGTCGGTGCTCGCGATAGTCTTGTACGAGAGACGATCTACTGCACTAGACCACTCGTCGCTGTGCTTATTTTCTGCCAATTTGCGGGGAAGGCCTCGCTGGATTGTATGCCGAGTGAAGGTGGTGTGGTTACTTCGTAGTATCACCATCTGCTCTTACTTGCTATCCCTGTCATCTCTTCTGGCAATTCACTATACTCCTTCTTGCGCCCTGTGGTCTCTGCAGCATTGTCGGCCGAGGTCGCGTTGGCCAAGAACCTTTGTATTTGTCGCCTTATATCACAGATCTCTGGAGACGAGTCCCAATCATCATATGCACAGAACACTATAATGCGATACGGAAAGTACACGTCTGTCCCTGTCTAACCGTCTTTTGTCCACGACATTCGACGTCAACCGACATCACCACCATCGAATCTCCAAGAACGACACACAAAGACACCGAGACACAGTCACAGTCACAGTCACAGTCACGACACGCAATGACCCCATCGTGGGACCTCTTCTCCGCGTCGCGGGCGCCCTTCTCGGCGGCCATGTTCCGGGCGCCCGGAAAAGAATACCGCGCGACGCCCCTCTGGTCGTGGAACAACAAGCTCACCGAGCCCGAGCTGCTGCGGCAGATTGACGAGCTCAAGGCCATGGGATTCGGCGGGTTCCACATGCACACGCGCGTGGGCCTCGACGTCGAGTACCTGGGCCCCGAGTTTATGCGGCTCGTGCGGGCGTGCGTGGACTACGCCAAGGACCACGACATGTACGCGTGGCTGTACGACGAGGACCGGTGGCCGTCGGGCTTTGCGGGCGGCAAGATCACCGAGGACGACGCGAACGCGTCGTTCCGGTGCCGCCACCTGCTGGTGACGCCATGGGCGTACGGCGACGCGTCGCATCCGGGGCGCGAGGGCCAGCCCATGTCCAACTCGGGGGAGGCGCGGCGCTCGGAGCTGGGCCGGCTGCTGGCGCGGTACGCCATCCGGCTGGACGAGGACGGCTACCTCGCGGGCCACCGTCGTCTTGCGGACGACGACGAGGACGGGGTCACGGACGGCGAGCAGTTGTGGTACGTCTACGACGAGACCAACGCGCCGTCCGAGTGGTTCAACGGCAGCTACTACGTGGACACGCTCAACCCGGAGGCGATGCGGGCGTTTGTGGCGGCGACGCACGAGACGTACAAGCGGGCCGTGGGCGACGAGTTTGGCCGGGCGGTGCCGGCCATCTTCACGGACGAGCCGCAGTTTGCGATGAAGAAGCGGCTGGCGCACGCGCGCGGCCAGGCCGACGTCTTTCTGCCGTGGACGCACGACCTCGCGGCGAGCTACCAGGCGCGCTACGGCGGCGACCTGCTCGCGGGCCTGCCGGAGATTGTCTGGGACACGCGCGGCGCGGCCTCGGCCACGCGCTACAACTTCCACGACCACGTCTGCGAGCGCTTCACGAGCGCCTTCACGGACCAGATTGCCGGCTGGTGCGCCGACAACGGCCTCGGGCTGACGGGCCACATGATGTTCGAGCCGGAGCTGGCGACGCAGACGGGGTCCGTCGGCGAGGCCATGCGCTGCTACCGCGGCATGCACCTGCCGGGCATCGACATGCTGTGCGACTGGCGCGAGTACACGACGGCCAAGCAGGCGCAGTCGGTCGCGCGCCAGTACGGCCGCTGCGGCGTGCTGTCGGAGATCTACGGCGTGACCAACTGGACGTTTGACTTTGTGGGCCACAAGGGGGCGGGCGACTGGCAGGCCGCGCTGGGCGTCAACGTGCGCTGCCCGCACCTCGCGTGGTACAGCATGGCCGGCGAGGCCAAGCGCGACTACCCGGCGGCCATTGGCTACCAGAGCCCGTGGTGCCGCGACTACAAGGCCGCCGTCGAGGACCACTTTGCGCGCGTGCACTACGCGCTGACGCGCGGCGTGCCGGCCGTCCGCGTCGCCGTCGTGCACCCCATCGAGAGCTTCTGGCTGGCCTACGGGCCGCACGACACGTCGGCGGCCGCCGTCGAGATGGAGCAGCGCTTCCAGGACGTCACCGACTGGCTGTGCCACGGCCTCGTCGACTTTGACTTTCTGGCCGAGTCGCTGCTCCTCGACCAGCCGGTCACGGCGCGCGGCCGCCAGCTGCACTTTGGCCACGGCCACTACGACGTCGTCGTCGTGCCGGCGCTGCACACGATCCGCTCGACCACGCTGGCCGCCCTCGCGGCCCTGCTGGCGGACGGCGGCACCGTCGTCGTGGCCGGGCCGCCGCCGGCGCTCGTGGACTGCGTGCCGACGACGAGCGCGGCCGACGCCCTGGCCGCGGCGGTGCACGTCCCCTTCAGCAAGACGGACATTCTGCGCGCGCTCGAGGGCGTGCGCGACGTGCGGGCGACGCGGACGCGCAGCGGCCTGGCGGCCGACGCGCTCCTCTACCAGATGCGCGCGGACGGCGACGACCGCTATGTGTTTGTCTGCAACACCGACCGCCAGCACGCGCGGGAGACGCAGCTCGACCTGCGCGGCGACTGGGATGTGCGTGTCCTCGACACCATGACGGGCGATGTCCGCGCACTCACAAACACGACGGCCGTCCGCAGACAGGGCGTGCCGTGGACGTCTTTCCCGTTTACGTTTGACGGCTGCGGGAGCGTCCTGCTGCGCCTGCAGCCAAAGACGTCCTCGTCCATGCCGCCCTCGCTCGCATTTTCGCGCCCCGCGTGGCACGTCGCCGGCGAGCTCGCCCTCCGCAAGGTCTCCCTCAGCGAGCCCAACGTCTTGCTGCTCGACATGGCGCGCTACCGCCTGGACGACGAGCCCGCCTGGTCGGACCACGCCGAGGAGATTCTGCGGACGGACAACATCGCCCGCCGGCGCGTCGGCCTGCCGCTGCGCCAGGACAATCTGGCGCAGCCGTACCGCGTGCCGCCGCGCACGCGGCCCGCGGCGCACACGATCCATCTGCGCTTCGCCTTTGAGGCCCGCCTGTCGAGCGCGGTCACGGACGCCCAGATCGCCCTGGAGGGCCTGGACACGGCCACCATCGTGCTCGACGGCCAGCCGGTCCCCGGCACCAAGACGGGCTGGTGGGTCGACCGCCTCATCGAGACGGCCGCTCTGCCGCCGCTGGCGTCGGGGCCGCACGTCCTCGACATCAGCCTGCCCCTGGACGTCCGCACCAACGTCGAGCGCGTCTACGTGCTGGGCACCTTTGGCGTCGACCTGCGCGGCCGCGACGCCACCGTCGTCGACCTCGCGCTCGACCGCGTCCGCATCGGCGACTGGACCCGCCAGCGGCTGCCCTTTTACGCCGGCGACGTCACCTACGAGTTTGCTGCCGTCGCCGGCCGCCACCGCACCGCCGTCCAGGTGCCGCGGTTCGCCGCGCCCGTCTTGCGCGTCGACGTGCGCGTCGGCGGGGACGGCGAGGAGGGGGAGGAAGACGTCGACGCCCACCACATCGCCTTCCCCCCGTACCGGGTCGACCTCGGCGACATCCCGCCCGGCCGCACCGCCACCGTGGCCATCACCGCCGTCGGCAACCGCAACAACGCGTTTGGCGCGCTCCACCTGCCCGACGGCCTCACCGCCTGGTACGGCCCCGACAGCTTCCGGACCAACGGCGACAAGTGGACGTACGAGTACGTGCTGCAGGACATGGGCCTGCTGGCGGCGCCGCGCCTGCTGACCACCGACAAGCAGCTGGCGTCGCCGACGTGGGACGCCGGCAGTGTCGACCAAGACGTGTGGTATCATTGGGTGTAGCTGTGTAGTTGTAGTTTGGTTGTTGATTTTGAGTTTGATTGAATTTGAATATAACATTGAAATTGAATTTCTGCTCATTTCCTGCTTCATCTGCCATCGACTCTAGTAAAGTACACCAGACAGTCCCCCCCCCCCCTACCACGGCTCGTACACAAAGCACAGCGGCGTCCCGCCCACCGTGTCCATGGCCGCCTGGATGGTAATGTTGCGGTGCAGCGGCTCAAAGCCCATGTTGTCCGTCAGCACGGCGTTGGCCGTCGGCGGCAGGTTGAACATGGTGTTGGTCCCCGCAATCGTCTGCCGCGCGGCCCAGTCGAGGTTCTGCCAGATAAAGTGCAGCCGGTCGAGGTTGGCGTGGTGCGGGTAGAAGCCCGGCTCGAGCGCCGAGAAGTGGAAGTCGCTGCCCGGGTCGCCGCTGATGGAAAAGTGCCCGCCGCTGTGCACGCCCGTCCCAAACGTGCGGCCGCCGTCGCCGCGCACGCCCTCGCCCTGCGCCGCGCTCTGGAACACGCCCACCGTGCTCGTGTACAGCACCAGCTCCGTCGCGTTGCGCAGCGACGCCCACTTGCGGCACACGTCGTCGTTGAGGTCGCGCTTGAGGCAGCGCGGGTTGTACGCCAGCGGGTTGCGCGCCTCCGTCGGCCCGATGTTGACCGTCAGGTTCGCAAACGGCCCCGTCGTCACGCACCCGCCGCCCGTGCCCGGCTTCGCGCCCCCAATCGCCGCCCGGTGGTTCTTGACAAACGCGCCGTTGCTGCCCAGCGACGTCTCGCTGCCGTCAAACAGCGGCGACGCGTCCAGGTGCCCGCAGTCCAGCCCCCACTCCCAGTACGGAAACGTGCCGTGGTAGCCGCAGTGCTCGGCCAGGTCCTGCTCCAGCACCCAGTTGAAGTGCCGGTGCCACAGCAAGAACGTCGCGTCGTCGTGCACGTACGGCGTCTGGTAGTAGTGCAGCACGCCGTAGTCGTCCCACAGCGTCTTGGGGCCCGGCAGCCCGTACCGCGACGGCTTCTGCATCAGGCACTGCACGGCCTCTTGGTACCCGCGGCGGTCGTCCATGGTCATGTTGCGCCTATACGTGGGGAGAGGATGGTTGTCAGTTTGAGTGTGCTTTGCTACACAAGACAAGTGCACAGACCACAGACACCTACCACTCCTTGCGGATCTTGACTTTGTCCGCGGTGCAGCCCGTCGTCGCTTTGGCCGCGCGCGCCATGGCCGTGTCGTAGGCAATCTTGCCGAGCTGGCGCATGGCCTCGCCCGAGTCGATCTGCGCCTGTGTAAACGTGGGAATCGTGGCGCCGAGGGCCGTGCTGGCTACCGCGGCCACCACGGCGGCAGTTTTGACGAGAGACAACATGGTGCAAGTCGTCGGTTGTTGGCTTGCGAGACGAAAGGATCGCAAACTCTCGGAAACGTTCACAGAGACGGGACATCAACGTCTTTGTATGATTTTGAACACCAGGTATTAAGACAGTCCATAACTGGGATGTCCACGGATATTGAGTCGGTATTGTCGTAGAGCACAAGTAGGACGAAAGGGGCGAAACAGGACCACAAATGGACAAATCTCGAAAATATAGATGAACTCGACGCTGCTCGGGTAATGTACCCCGGACTCGCCAATAAACGAGCGCGGCACACCCAACGCCATTCCGTGTCGCCAACGTGGTGGCGTTCAGTCGATGCAGTCGATACTATATATAAAGTGTTGCCGATAGTAAGTTGGCAGCCAATGGTCTTCTTCAGGTCCTGCTCGTACTCTTTCTATGCTTAAATAGGGTGTAAAGAGGCAACAAAACGAAGCGATGCCAACCTCGACGTAGGCTTCTCCCGTCCCGTCACGGTTCTTGTGTGTGTCGCGTATTCTGTCTACATTTACGGAATACAGCGAATTGAGGCAACTCGTGTCGGCAGTTGGGGCATTGGGACGTCTTTATCCTTCCGAATACTTCATGTTACCGAACAAAAGCCGTTGCGTGGTCCGAGATCAACGTTGGGAGAGTTTCTTTTACCTAACACAATGGCGAGATGCCACATTCGCGATCAAAATATATGCATTGCGGGGCCGGTCACGCCCAACACCCTTCTCGCCATGTTCCCTACAATGTGTGGACGGAAAATCTGAATCCGCATCTTGATGACCATTTTGATGAACGTTTTGATGAGCTTCTGATGAGCTTCTGATGGTTGTGGTTGCTCGGCTGGGATCACGGATGGCTAAACTGTGCGCCGCGATGGACTGCATCCGGAATGGATGAGGCAAAAGGAAGACTGTAGACACAACTTTGAAAGGCAAACATGGTTGGGGATGGCAAATGGCTGTTCTGAACTCAAATCAACATCACCGGCTAATAGCCTTGAGCTATTTGCAGAAGCAGGTCGTCAAAGTGCCGGTTGGGAAGATACTCCGTGGAGCTTGCCAAGGAAGAGTTATAGCCTTTCTGGATTATGTGATTCTCTCACCGTTGACGAGCACGGCAAGCCACACGGGGCGTCCACCGAACCCCAGCCACAATTGTTTGATTTTACATTGACTCCATCGAATTGTATGACGACGCCCCCCGGAGCAACAAGTCGTCTCCATGCCCTCATTCGCTCTTTGCTGTCGTTCGAAAACACATTACACCATTCGCGTCGTCATCGTCCTCCATGTCAACAGACTTCCCATAGTCCCCCATCGTCGGACCAGACAATGACATGGCTTATCTCCTTGATCGTCTCGTCGACCTATCCGAGCATCCGACCTTCTCTTCTTGGGTAGTTGCGGGGTTGGTCCCCGCCACTGTCTGTAGGTTTTCGTCTGTTCGTCTCGTCGTTTTTCAATTTCGGAAGGTTCCGTGCAGTAGCGCACACCTTGTTTTACGCCTTGCTTTATGCCGTGCTCTGCGCCGTTGTGCGCCGTCTTTACGCCTCCTACTTTTTACACTCCGTCTCGTCCCGCGAAGCTTAAAAGAGAAGCTCGTTTTGTTCGTGCATAGGCGATTACTCCGTACAAGGAAGCAACCTCCGGCTTGTTATCACGCGCGGAGCAAAGTGTGCTGTCGAGGTTGACATCGCATCATGATGCTCGTTTGGGCATCCCGGGCATCCGTGCTTCTCGGATGTAGGCACGTCCTCGGAAGTCGGCAGCGATGCGAGTTAACGATCGGCCAGCGTTGGAGCACAACGACTCAACCGCCGATCACTTGTGGTTTTGGTCATTCCTTGTCTTTGTCTCGGTTAGTTCACACGGAGAGCACATGGAGCCCACGAGCAAGCTGAGACCAGCTCGAGCCCAGAAGAAGTAGCGAAAAGAAACAGGCGGAAACAGACGGCGTGGCAAACAACCCCCAGAGCTGGCCCGATTGCATAAAACAGAATCTCGCCGACATCGACCACGTTCATTGCGGAAGGGCAGCGTGTCCCGATGTCGATTGGTCCGATCCGTCGCATAGCGCAAGGGAAACTGAAACTAGCTCGATGACCAAGCGATATCACCACTATTCAGTCGCGCGTCTCTCTTGTTTCGCTATTTTGCTGCGTCGTCGCTTCGCTGTTTAGTTGTTTCGTTTGTTGATTTCGGCCTCGCATAAAGAGCGCATTGCACCGCCATTCGCTGCAAGTAGAATTACTCGACGGTCCTGCTCTTCTCGGCGGACGTCCGGATCGGGCAACTGTTTACACTGAGAGACGAGGTGGCCGGCGTGCCTGACCGTCCTTACGTCGTATTGCATCTGCACATCTTCCAGCATCGTCTGCACTCTGTCCAACGGCGTCACAGTGTCTCCGTGTTTCACGAATGGCCGTCACAAGGCAACACGCCCAAACCAACCAGCCAGGACGATCGCGGGAGGACAAAGAAGCTTATCCAAGGCAGGGGCAGTCGGAGGCTGCATGGCCAGGCATGCCAAGAAAGCAGTGGGGACGACTGGGGGTTGTCGGTCAAGGGGACGTGGTTACCAGACGAAAGGAGGACCGAAGAAAAGAAAGACAATGCAAAGAAAAAATGACAAACAGTAAGATGAAAAATAAAAGATAAAATGACAGAAACTTGTTCACGTCACGACGGGCCATGCTGTCGCCATCGACAGTCATCGCCATGAGCTGATTTCAGTCGATACGAATTGCATAAGATGTGCGATACAAAAGAACCACAGGGATACACTAGAAGAAAAATGGAAGGCCAGCACGAGGTTGCGCTGCAGAGATAGGAGGATACGTCCCGATGCAATAGTACCCGGCAGTATCAAAGCGGATCTCTCATCCTTACAAAGTACGTCGTGCGCTGTGAAACATCTCCAGATGAGGAAGTCGAGCTCCGGACCGAGGCAGATGCAAAAATACACCCGCTGCACACAGTCGTTGCTGCCTCGCCCGTTTGTGGACAGTCGTTCTTGCCGTTATCAGCGGGTCTTGCATTCCAACAAGGAAGGCACGGAGCTGCTGCTCTTTCTTCGTTCGCGGACGGGCGACCGTTGAATATGCGTTGAACTGAGGGGCTCTAAGGGGCTCTAAGGGTAAGGGGCTCTAAGGGGCTCTGAGCTCTGCTGCTGCCCATTCGTCCTTTTGCCGTCCCTTGCAGCCCACTGGCCGCGCAAGTTTGCCGTTAACACTCTCTTGGCCAGCCAGTGTTGACGGCCGTTGTGCCGAATGCCACTCTTTGGCCCCAGATATGAGATATTCCGAGCCCGAACTCTTGCGCCATCCACGGGCAGTTGCAGTGTCTAGTGTACTGTGCTGTGCATAGCGTACTGTATTACAACTTTACAGGCAGTCAGGGCTGTGTCATTCACTGCCACTAACACCGATTCGGCAGGTCCTTGGCCACCACTGCCGCCCGCACCCTACGACGAGCCGGGAGGGAAGGTGTGACGGACAGCAAGCCTTCGTTCCTGCTGTTTTCCTGCTGTTCTCGTGCCGTTGGTCAGCCGGTGTCGTTGTTCTGTGTATGGCAAGCACAGTCAAGGACGCCCTGTCTTGCCTCTTGCGCCTTCCTTGTCTTTCATTGCACCTCCTTTTCCAGGCACCAGGCACGCCAAGGACCGGCACATGCTTTTTTGGTCTTACTTCTTGCAGACACTCTGCTTAGCGTGAGCGCTGAAAACAAGCACGAGGCTAATCTCTGAGGGGGAAGGGGCGATCGTGCTGATCGCTATGTGTCCAGGGGGAAGGTAGTATCGGCCCATCGCCCAATGCGACAACAATCGTTGGCGATGCGCGTTGACGACCCTCTTTCTCGCCGTCTCCACCAAGGATCATCTGCCGCACATCATTGTCGTCTTTGTCGTCGACCCCCCATGCAGCCCGGTCGTGACCCGCCTTGCCCGCGCCCTATCGTTATTATCACTGGTCCGCTGGGGAGATGAGAGGGGACTGCAGCAAGGCAACCAAGTCGGACCAGTCTTGCACATCACTTGCTTTTTGCCCTATTTTTCCTTCTTTTTCTTCTTTTCCCTCATGCCCCCTGTCTCCCTTTTGTTCTTCTGTTGAATCCCCTTTCACCATCCGTGGCCAACTTGACGAACCTGCCTATCTCGTCGCCAATCCGCGCCCGTCCTGCTGGCCTGTCCTGGCCTCTCTGGTTCGTTCTGCCCTACCGTCGTCGTATCGAACCGACCGTCGCGATGATCAGGGACAAGAGGTCCAACAACACACCACAGCCGCAAAATGGCTTCTCCAAGCTTCCTTTTTCGACCGATTTCGTGCTGGGGATCGCCATGTTGCGATAGCTCATGAGCCCGAAGGCGACCAGGGTGGAGAGGGCAGGGCCAGCAGGGGCAGCAGGACAAACAATACTACGTACAAACAATGGCGATGCCTTGTAACATCGACAGGGCCAGGCAGGGAGCATGACTACATGTAACATGTACACCTGCATCGACTGTGGCCGTGTTGATCCTGGCCCCGACCTTGACCGAACCAAACCTTCCTTTCTTGGCAAAGCCTCGACCGCCGCCGCCGCCTGGGTGTGTGTCTGCGACTTGCGTCTTCTTGTTCTGTCGACATTCATCTTTGTTGTTGCTCATATCGAGGATCCGCATCCCCAGGTCGACATCGACCATCAATCTTCGCTCATCACCTCGGACCATCGATCATCGACTGCCCATCTCTCGACAAACATAAAAGACGGCGTCCTGCTCTTCCTTTTGCAACGTCGTGTCTAAGATCCAGATCGCCAGCTCTCCCGCCCTCCTCCACTCATCCATCTCATCCTCTCGCTTTTCTCGGACTCTCCCTTGATCGTCCAGCAACCTTATTTTCTAGGACGTGACTTTCGTTCCTGACTTGTTCTCATCCCATCACGTTTTCCTCTGCCCAGCTCGCCATCGCCCTCGACCTGGTCCTCGTCATCGCCATGGCCCCCCTCACGCACCTGCT